TTCATGTTCTGTTATTTCATGTTCTGTTATTTCATGGAACCATTTTTATCAAGTTAATATTCCAAAAGTTTCAAGTTTACCCTGTCGAAATGGAGCCTTGTCAAAGCTGTGTGGCTTTTATCTCATAATAACAAAACAACATGAATCATTTTAAACTAAACTGTTAAATGACAATATTCAAATTAAATACCAATATTATTCAATTACTATGGATAGATAGGTAGCCTTAAAATCTGTTGTTTTGTTATTATTTGATAAGACTCAACAGTTCAGATACTCGAAAAAAAGCCTTTCTCCTAACTTCGACAAACCGCCATTCCGACAGGGTAAATATAGGCAACTCGAAACTTTGGGGATATAATTCTAATAAAAATAGCTATCAAATCAAATTTTTGAACGTACCTGTCACCCCTGCTTAGGGGTTGACAGGTAGAGGGTGAAAATACCAATGGAATGCGTCCCCCAAAAACCAAAAATTGACGTATCCGAGCCATTTTTGATTAATCACCTAACATCTTAGAAAACCGGGGTGGGAAGTTTTTCATGCCCCACCCTGTATATCTTCCTCCTCACTCGTCTCTCGTGTAACGAAATTTGCCAAAACATGACGTCATGTGATGCGTCCTCCAAATCACTCTCCATATTTTCGTCTAAATATCAGAATTTTCTATAGATTTAGATATAACTACATCGGTCGTCGGTCTTGACTCTTGAATAGTGAATTGTGCTAGTGGCGCTAGGCCACTACTGCCACGAGTGCTACGTGCCACTGCCACAGGCTAGTCGCGCTAGTGCAGTGCAAAGTGCAACGCAAGAGATCGCTGCGACCATTGGGATTTCGTCATCCTGTTGTCCGGTGATTTTGCAATTCATTACGCCACGTGACACGATCCTAATGTTAATTTTAATTAGTTCTCGCAAATAAGGTGCGCAAATTTATGTCTACCAATTTCTCCCAACTTTAAATTTTTTATCTAAGTTTTCCCAACTTTCGATATATTTGAGGAACTTTGGAGGGGGCGTTGCCCCCCTCAACCCCCCCCCCCATGGCTCCGTCCCTGGTCTTGAGAGCAACTTTAATTTTAATTAACCGGTTGTCAGACGGGAGAAATCTGTTTGGACACATAAACATTTTTCGCAATTTAACAATAATTGTGCAACGTATGTAGCTCATTGCGGTTTCTGCCATATTGAGAATATGCATATTCTCATAACTACATTTCACTGAAACAAACGGCAGACGGGTTGAAAACGTTCATGATATGAACAATTTTTGTTCCAATTTTGTTAATCAATTATAAGAACTTGTATCAGCCTGCAATTTCTGCCAGTCGAAATTTAAGCTTTTAGTAGTAGCTAATTTAATATAAATTACTGGCAGACGGGAAAAAATTGATCTCAACTTTGAAAAATTTTGACATTTTTATTGTTTCTGCCAATTGTTAATATAGCTTGGATACATCTGCCAATACATTTCTTGGATTTTACTTTGCATGTCAAACTCATCTTCCAAATGGCAGATGGGAGAAAATTGTTTCAACATCTCAGCATTTTGATACAACTTCAAAAAGTGTTAAATATTATTATACCAACCGAGATTTTCCACCATTTCCTCATTGATCTCTAAATCGTAAATGCAATATAAATTTAATTTGGCAGACGGGAGGTCGTTGATCCACATGTCCGATTTTGGCGACATTTTTAAATTAGTAATATGACACTTTATACTAACCTAGGGTTTCCGCCGTTTAGCTTCCTTGTACGCATTTTTGTCTAAATTACCTTCACAATGTGTGGCAGACTGTATAATATTGATCCAAATCTCCACTTTTCATTACATTTTCAAATTAGCATATCATTATATTGTCAAACGCAGGGCTCTTTGAAATTTCAGCCATTCCATTTCTTATTGCATAAAGAAGAACCATCCTTGATGGCAGACGGGAGAAAAACGTTTTAAAAAAATGGTCGTTATGCACCGGTCTATTATGTAGTTGATGCGATACTCGAATGCAAAGTGAAAAGAGTAAATTGACAATACGAGTAGTTGGACTTTGTAAGACAATAAAGAGAAAAATTTAGTATTACTCATATTCATTGGATAATTTGCTAGTTACAGACTGGTTCCAGACTTATTGCATGGTTATTTCATTCTTATTTCCTGATTTCGTATGTTCGCTTATGTTGTACTGTCGATATAGGTTTGGAACCGATCTAGCGAACAAACGAACTATCCAATAAATGGGATCTAAATTTTTCTTTCCATTCTGCTACAATCACTCCTATTGCAAAATCTAGGTATGTACACAAGTGCGTAGAAGCGATATTTTATACCTTGTAGTGTGAGGCAGACAGTCAATTTGTACATTCAATAATTTCTGACTCAATAAGCGTCAAGTGTACAAATCGATTACTGTAATTTTTTTTTTCTGGAAAATATTCTGATGAGATTCGACACACTTTGTGACCTTCTATGGAAAAATTACAATGTGTTGGAATCTATAACCTCTGCTAATTATTGTATATCTGGCTTTGGAAAGATAATCAGATTTGAATAGTATATTATGCAATGATCATGTAATGATAGCCATTAATACACGAGCATGTTGTAGGATACGAAACGAGCCGCAGGCGAGTTTCGTATATAACATGCGAGTGTATTAATGGCCATTACATGAGAGTTGCATACACTATTTTTTCTTCTGCCATTGATAAAACTTGATATGATGATATTTAGATATGTCAACATTACGCTTAACTTTGAATCGAGATGTTATAATTGAGTAATCCATACAGTTGAAGCTTTCATTTTTTGTTGTAATTCTTCAAAATATACTATCAAAACATTTTCTGAGAAGGACGATGTGTTTTTGGTGTTTCCAATCCATAAATTGTCCATATAATTTTTCGCAAATTTTCTTGGACTTGTCCGGTAGTATATTATTACCTGCATTTGTCGCCCTTTCTGTAATTTCTGGAGGTGTTAGTGAAAATTCTTCGTTATCACTCAATATTTCCATAATAATGCCTTATCCCAAACATTAGGTAACTTTTAATAACAATTCGAAGTATTTTTTTCATGAAATTATTGTTTTTCGCTAAATTACCATGGAAAAGCCATAAACAGAGTGCTGTCATCATTCAAAACAAAAAAAATTCAAAATTTCTTTACTGGTGGCGCCATCTATTGACAATGTATAATAATGAAAAAAGTAAAAATTCTTCCTTATCACTCATTATTTCCATAATAATTATTCTTTGTCCCAAACTTTAGGTAACTTTTAAACAATTCGAAGTATTTTTTATAGTTATCAAAATAATTGTTTTACGCAAAATTACCGTTAAAAATGTTTAATATCTTAACTAGTGCTGCCATCTATCAACATTGTATAATATTAAAAATGAGTATCATAATGAAAATCTGTATCGTAATGAAGTTCATTATAATACAGATTTTAATCGTTTAATAGCGTATTATGAAATGTCAATAGAAAATAGTATATTATGCAATGATCATGTAATGATAGCCATTAATACACGAGCATGTTGTAGGATACGAAACGAGCCGTAGGCGAGTTTCGTATATAACATGCGAGTGTATTAATGGCCATTACATGAGAGTTGCATACACTATTTTTTCTACTGCCATTGATTAAACTTATGATATTTAGATATGTCAACATTATGCTTAACTTTGAATAGAGATTTCATAATTGAGTAATCCATACAGTTGAAGGTTTCATTTTTTGTTGTAATTCTTCAAAATATACTATCAAAACATTTTCTGAGAAGGATGATGTGTTTTTGGTGTTTCCAATCCATAAATTGTCCATATAATTTTTCGTAAATTTTCTTGGACTTGTCCGGTAGTATATTATTACCTGCATTTGTCGCCCTTTCTGTAATTTCTGGAGGTGTTAGTGAAAATTCTTCGTTATCGCTCAATATTTCCATAATAATGCCTTCTCCCAAACTTAAGGTATTAACTTTTAATAACAATTTGAAGTATTTTTTTTATAAAATTATTGTTTTTCGCTAAATTACCATGGAAAAGCTATAAACAGTGCTGCCAACATTCAAAAAAAAAAAAAAAAAAATCAAAATTTTTTAACTGGTGGCGCCATCTATTGACAATGCATAATAATGAAGAAAGTAAAAATTCTTCCTTATCATTCATGATTTCCATAATAATTATTCTTTGTCCCAAACTTAAGGTAACTTTTAAACAATTCGGAGTCTTTTTTATAGTTATCAAAATAATTGTTTTACGCAAAATCACCGTTTAAAATGTTTAATATCTGAACTAGTGCTGCCATCTATCAACATTGTATAATATTAAAAATGAGTATTATAATGAAAATCTGTATCGTAATGAAGTTCATTATAATACAGATTTTAATCGTTTAATAGCGTATTATGAAATGTCAATAGAAAAAAATTATTAATTTAATTATTCTGAATTGTACATTAAGATTTTAGGTTTGTGAACAGAATAGCAATTTTCTTTTTTGATAGAGTGTGGAAGCTACTAATAACTACAGCATCAAAACTCGAGATTATGCCGCTTTTCTGTAAAAATTGACATAAAAATTGCAGATTCCAGCAATAAGGCTTGAATTTATATAGCTCCCAAATATGGCAAACTAATTTTTTTTGATAAATATTTTAAGGAGAAAATCTTTATTAGCAGAAAACAAAATTTTTATAATGTTTTAGTTTCAATCTATAGTATCCGCTGACTAAAAAAAAAATGGGTAGGAGGCCAACTCGAAATTGCTTTTATGCAAAGCGCCTCCAGGTTCCCTTTTTCTTGTGTCTCTGTTTAAGTTTTAAAAAATTCTCATCGAGCTTGCTTCTATAGCCGTGCCCTGATAGCTAATGAGTTTCGGCTTTAATTAATTAAAAATTAAATTAAAGCCCGGCTCGTTCGGGGACGGTCTGAGGTCAGATTTGGATACGTTCCAGGAATAAATTTAATATATATTTCAATAAAATTTCAGCGAAGAACCTACGCCGTCGCCAATAACGGAAGAAGTGGACTTTCTGGAAGCTGGAGTATCATATTTTCAACGTGAATGCTCACGAAGAGGCGATACTGGCATGTCTGCTATATCATACAGGCAACGTGGTTCTGGAGCTGGCCCTTCAGGACAGAAACGTCGACCACCGGAAAGTTTAGTAGGCGGATCGCCTTATGATCAGTTGTGGATGTGGACCTGTTTCAATTATTCGTAAGTAACTCAATATCTAGAGCTGATATTTTTATATTTGAATAACGGTGAAATAACGCAGATTTCAGCTTATTTGAGGCAATTTCTGTGCCTTGTCCTCACTCAGTTCAAATGCAAGAGGAAAAATTTAATGTATCTATTTCGTACTTTACTGCCATTGCAATTATAAATACTGCGCATCTATACTTGATGGAAAATCATATTATCACTGATAACTGAAAGACACATGTCAAAATTTCTACCTTAACTTTTATTTAAATCGACTTTTGGAAGATGAAATAGCTAATGTGGATTTCACAGAACAACCTTGTGAACAACCTAGAAAAATTTTAGGAATATAACTATGACTATTGACCCTTTTGTACGCAATAGCTTTGGAATTGAATTTTCTGTACCTAATTGTCTATTTACTCAATATTCAATGTAAATTACTAGCTGTCCATAAAGTTTAAACTTACACATTGTTCCTCTGAAACCAGAAGCGTTGATTGTCGAAGTTAGTTAGTAGTTTCTTGCACTAAGCTGAAGCTGGAGCAGAAAGGGTGTTACAATGTGTCTCCAAATGGCGAGACTACCAAAATCTAGTAAATTCAAATTAAATAATAATTTATTTGCCATCTAGAGTCAATTACATCGCTGAAAAAAAAAAATTAATGAATATGCAAATATGTATAATAAATAATATTGGCACTGGGGCAGAATGGACCATCCCCCGATTTTTTAGTAGCCGGGCTGCCAACAGAAGAAGCCCAAAAGTGGGACAGACCTATTAACCTAATATAACCTAATATAGTTCTGGTTTAAACAAGGGTATTAGAAAAGAAAAACTAACGTAAAGTAAATAGGACAGAATAATAAAAATTAAATGAAAATAGTTATAAAACTATTATTGTGTTATAAAAGCGATGTATCAGAGGATGGGATTTGCATGAGTACTAAGAAGCGAAATAATTATTTATTAATTTTTTCTAATTATGGAAGGGGAAGTCGGGGGAGACGACGACGACGGAGGGCGAGAGACGAATGGTTGACGGTCCAGACCGCATTTAGTAATAGTCATTGTAATAATTAAGGATTTAGGAGAAATATATTCAATGTTTTATATATAGGATTATTTATTTCGAGGTTCAAAGCTGAAGTGGGTTCTCTTTATTTTATTTGGTTTGATGACCAGAAATTTACAATATAAAAAGTATCGGAATGTTGCCTGTTTACATTTCGCTATACACTGCTTAATAATAACTAGGTAGGTACCTATATGTTATACACTGCCTTTACTACACTCTCCCACAAGATACAACCGTGTTCCAAATGCAATTGATCCTGTTTATTGTAAAAAATTTTAATTTTTTCAGAAATGTTTTGTTGTTCTGGCCATCCATGAAAACAATAACCATAAACAATATTTAAAATAGGATCTTTTTTTGTAAATGAACTTATTTTTTTATAATCAATGGGTAAATTTTCTTCTAGGTAAAAAATGTGAGAATAATCAAATTTTTTTTCTATTTTTATATTCAAAGGTAACCGCGATAAGGCATCGGCAATATTTTTTTCTGATTTAATAAATTTTATATCATAGTTATACATACTTAAAATTATACTCCATCTTTGAAGTCTACTCGCTGCATATACAGGTATGCCTTTTTTGCTACCCAAAATATTCACTAAAGCTTTATTGTCACAAAGTAGAGTAAAAAACCTTCCGTAGAGATAATCATTAAATTTTTTTAAACAAAATATTATAGCTGCCCCTTCTTTATCTAACTGACTATAAGACCTTTCGGCGTCAGAAAGGGTCCGTGAGGCATATGCAATAGGGCGGTTGTCTCCATTAAGGCAATTATGAGAAATGACCCCACCTAAGGCATATGAACTCGCATCACAAGCCAAAGTTACCGGTAAATTTGGATCGTAATGTAATAACAGCTTTGGGGATGCCAGTTCTTTTTTTATTTCTTCAAAAACTTTATTTTCTCTTTCACCCCAACTCCACGAAATTCCCTTTTTTAGTAATTTATGTAGAGGATGTAATTTACCACTTAAATTAAAAATAAATTTACCATAAAAATTCACCAATCCTAAAAAAGATTTTAATGTAGTTACATCACTGGGAATTGGGGCTTTTAAAATCGCCTCCACCTTATCTTTTGAAGTTGATAAGCCTTTTTTATTTATTGTATACCCCAAAAAATTAACTTCCTCCTGAAAAAACATACATTTTGACAATTGTACTCTTAAACCACAATCACGTAATTTTTCAAAAACTATATTATAAAGATTTTTCAAATGATGTTTTTCGTCCCTGCCAGTTATTAAAATGTCATCTAAGAAAATTGCGACGTTCTCCATCCCCGCAAAAATGTTATCTATGATTCTTTGAAAAATGCCTGGGCTAGAAGCTACCCCATATGGTAATCTATTCATTTGAAATAACCCTTTATGCGTATTTAGAATAGGGCTCGGAATTTTTAAAATTCAAGTATTCGAATAGTCGTTTGGTATTTTATTCGAATAGTTGAATAATTCGAATAGTCGAATATTCGAATACCTATTCGAATAGTCGAATATTCGAATAGTCGAATAGTCGAATATTCGAATAGTCGAATAGTCGAATATTCGAATAGTCGAATGGTCGAATATTCGAATATGTAGTCAAAAAGTCGAATATTGGAATAGTCTAATATTCCAATAGTCAAATATTGATAGAGGACCTTATTAAGAGAACAAAATGGGACTTTAAAAATGACGTTTTTCGACTAACAATCATTCTTGATAAAAGTTTCTACTTCCCGCAAAAGAACGTTCTACGACGAAGCGAATTTTTGATTTTTTATGCAGAGTATCGCAGAGTCAGAAAAACTTAAATAATTTAGATGTTTTCTAAATGGCAAATTTACAAAGGGGTAAAATTTACATTGCGAACAAAAATGCATTGTATTTATTGAAAGCTGATTTTCAACGAAATCACTTCGTATATTGTATCATTCAAATTCCAATATTGAAACGAAACAATTGAAATTTTAAATTGAATATATATTCAAATCAAAAAGTGAATAATTGCATTGTTAAAAAGTCCAATATTCGAATAGTCGAATAGTCGAATATTCGAATAGTCGAACATTCGAATAGTCGAATAGTCGAATTTGTTAAGTAACAAAAAAGTCGAATTTAGAATAGTCGAATAGTCGAATATTCGAATTATTCGAATACAATTCCGAGCCCTAATTTAGAACTGTGACTGCTTTACTATCGTCCGCCAGTTCTATCTGCGCATAGGCCTGAGACAAATCTATTTTACTAAAAAATTTACCATTATTCAATTTAGCAAACAAGTGTTCAATTTTTGGAATGGGGTACTTATCAACATATAAATTTCCGTTTAAAGTTATTTTATAATCCCCGCAGATCCTAACATCCCCCGATTTTTTTAAAACAGGAACGATGGGGGTAGCCCAATCGCTAAATTCCACTGGTGATAAGATTTCAAGTTTTACTAAGTTATTTAGCTCAATTTCTACTTTCTCTTTTAGAGCCAGCGCCAAATTTCGAGCTTTACAAAATTTAGGAATGGCATTTTCTTTCAAATGTAGGGATGCCTTCCCCTTTACAAACTTGCCCAATCCCGGCCTAAATACCTCCGGAAATTTTTTTTTAAGATCATTTATTGTTTCAGAAACTTCTACATGATTTATTTGATTCGAATTTAATAATTTATCTATGGAAATTCCTAAATTATAAATCCAATTCCTACCCATTATGGGTGGACCTCCATTTTTAACAATAAATAATTTCAGTTTAGAAAAAACATCGTCATACTTTACCATTACGTCAATATACCCTAAATTTTTCAAAACATCGCCGGCATAAGATTTTAAGCTTAGAAAAGATTTATTTATAGGTAAGTTTTTGAAGTTTTTATGAAAGTAATTTTCTGAAATAGCTGAAATAGGGGAGCCTGTATCAACTTCCATACAAATCAATTTATTTTCAACCCTTAAATTTATTTGCAACGGTTTATCCTGGTTATGGGTTATGTTAAAAAAATTTAGCTCGGAATCAGAGTCAAAATCACTATTTTCGCAAGAAACTTGATTCTCTGTGCCAAAAAACTTATTATATTTTACAGCTTGCTTACCGTTATTATTGTCTGAATTACAGATTCTGGGAATATGCCCTCTTTTTCCACAAGAATTGCAGGTAGCGTCTTTGAAAAAACATGAATGGCTGTCATGGTTAGTTCTTCCGCAATGGCGGCATTTACTTCCCCCTGCTTTGTGTTGGGATTGCTTCCATGGCTCGTTTCTTGTGGGTGTGCCCGAGTTGTTTGGATTCCCTGTTTTTCTGGATTTAGACAGGTGCTGAAGATTAGTTGGTGTGATGAGACCCGCATTTATTTCCGCGGCTTCAATGTTGATAGCAATCTCGTAGGCTTTTTTAAATGTTAATTTTTGTTCTTGAAATAGTCGCTGTCGGACGTTTTCGTTCGCAAGTCCAAAAACCAATTGATCTCGCAGCTGAGTTTCCAAATTGTTTCCAAAATTGCAATCCTTAGATAATTTTTTTAAAGATGCAACGTAAAATGAGATTGATTCTCCATCATTTTGCCGTCTTTGTCGAAATTTGTACCTTTCGGCAATTTCGGAGGGAGTGGGCTGTAAATGATCTCTTACCAGCTTTTCTAATGTCTCAAAAGACTGGTCCTCTAGCTTATCTGGCCTGCACAAGTCGACCATAAGCTCAAATGTTTCATCACCAACTGCGGTAATTAATATAGCCGCCTTCAAAGTATCTTTAATCTCATTCACCTTGAAGTACTGCTTCATCCGCGTAATATAAGAACTCCAGTTTCCCTCACGAACGTTGAAAATGTCCAACTTCCCAATTGACATTTTAAAACTTGTATTCTGTTATTTAATTAATTTATTACCGACCGCGCCAGTGTAATAATTAAGGATTTAGGAGAAATATATTCAATGTTTTATATATAGGACTATTTATTTCGAGGTTCAAAGCTGAAGTGGGTTCTCTTTATTTTATTTGGTTTGATGACCAGAAATTTACAATATAAATAGTATCGGAATGTTGCCTGTTTACATTTCGCTATACACTGCCTAATAATAACTAGGTAGGTACCTATATGTTATACACTGCCTTTACTACAGTCATTATTATTTATATCTAGCATTTTAAGTCAAAAGCGAATGCGCGCACCCAGTCGTGTAATCTGTATGTACCCAGATATGCAAGCACCCACAAAGAGAAAAAAAAAAAGTGAATACAAAATAAAACATATAACTACCTACACATAGGCTAAATGCCTACAATTGGCCCTGCAGAAGCATTAATTTTACATGCCTCTTAAAACTATATGTAGAATGTAAGAGATTTTATATTATTTGGTAGATTATTCCAGATTTTAGAGGCTGCGTATGTAAATGATTTTTGAAATTTTGTTGTATGGTGAACAAGAATTCTATATAGATTATCGTTTCTAGTTTCGTAGGTGTGTTGTAGTGGTATCAGACAATTAAGCAGATACTCCGGTTTCCCAGTTTTAATTATCCTAAAAATAAGGCAAGACATGTGACATTCTCTTCTGTTTTCCATGTTTAAAATTTTGTTGTCATTCAGATATGGAGTAATGTGATGTCGATAGGGAATATTAAAAGAAAATCTCATGCATGTGTTTTGTAGTTTTTGGATTTTGCTTTCATATAAACCTGTTATCGAGTCGGAGTATACAACATCTCCGAAGTCAAATAGTGGCAAAATTAGGGTATCACAAAGAAAATATTTAGTTTTTGATGGTGAAGAATTTTTTCAATAAAATATACAGGGTGTCCACTTAGTGCGATAACGGACGATATCTCCTTACAGAGTGATGCAAGAAAAAAAAGTTAGATTACAAAGTTGTTTGATACTCTAATATGCATTATTTAAAAATATTTTTGAATATACAGGGTGCTCCGTTAATGAAGTATGCGACAGAACTTTGTTATTTTAAATGGAACACCCCTACATAAAATTCTGAGCAAATTTCGTGTGATATAGGGGAGAGTGGGACACTTTCGGCCATTTTTCTGTTTTTCAGGTGAAAAATATTTAGAAAAATATATTTAAACAAATATTTTACTCAAAATTCAAAATCTACAGTTTTTTGAAGCTACTCATAAAATGCTTTTGTTTAATTTTTGTTTTGTTTTTTTTAAATAAATAAATAAAAAAATGTGTCCCGGTGGCTGATTGTACCCCATGGTGGGGTACAATCGGCCAACGCATGGGGCAGTTTCGTTCGTGAGGCAGATTCATAAAAAAAAAATACAAAAAAAATCCGTAATTATTTATTCAGAAGAAATAATACATTTGAAAGTATTTCTTATACTAAAACAAACCATTCCAACCTGATATCATTCATTCTTTTGATATTGGAAAAAAAAATAGCAACAGAAACATTATTTCATACAAAAAAAAATCTGCAAAGAAAAATATTTTTTCTACTCACTTAACATTAATACCTTCAAAATTATGATAAAATGTCAAGGTTGAATCTCTACGAGCTTTAGAGTATATCCTGAGCTTAGCGTAAATATCTGATTGTTCGCAAGTCTCTATATCCTCAATTTGTGGAAAATAAAATTTGTTACTGTTACCTCTGCGTCTCAAGTATTTCACTTTAAATTTTTTATCGGATATATTATCTACTACAATTCCAACATAGTAAATGGATGCTGTTTTAACCAAAAACTTGACTAGTATGTAGCTGTTAATGTTTACCTCATCATCGTCTTGAAGAGACTCAAAACTCTCGTTGTCACCGCTGTCATCCAAATGAATATCATTTTCTGATTCACTACTGGAACTCTCTTCAAAAACTTTTTTTTTAATTCTCTGAATTTTTGCTTTTTTAATTTCCGCTGTAGTATCTGATGACAAATGATCGTTATTCCTCTTCAGTTTGCCATTTTTTTTTTCTGCTTTTACTTTTCCTTCAACATTTTTTCGTTCTGTAGTTCCTCAAGTCTTTGCTTTTCTGGTGTTTCCGTATAGATTCTAGACTTTCCTTGATTTGCTTTAGTTCTTTTCGTAGTGTCTGCACGTTTTTCAACTTTTGGGAAGGGTCTAACACATTCCGGACTTAAAATTTTGCGGTGCATTCTAGAAGATGCTGGAACTCCTTTTGAAGTTGATGGTTGATTTTGCATCTCAGTATCATATTTTTCGGAGTTAAGCTCTTTTACTCTTACTTTTTTCTTCTGTTGAGGTAGATGCCTGATTTAGAGTTTCTTTTTCAGACTCTACAACGCTTGCAATATTCTCCTTATCATTTGTTTTATAAACCAGAGTCGCATCAAAATCCTCAACAGTGAAGGCCATTGAATTTAGAGGCCATATGCCTGGCTTTACGAACGAACTTGTAATATTTCGAGGAGAAAAGGCCTCTAAAAATGGATGCTTCGTAATTTTGGGTATTTGTCTAATAGAAACAGTTCTTCCAGGGTTACTTATCATCCATTCATTTAAGGCGACAGAGCATTTAGATTTGAGCGGACCATATACTCCAACATCAAGTGGTTGGAGTTTATGTGACGTGTGTGGAGGAAATGAGAGTAAAACAATTCCATGCTCCCTTGCAAACAGTATTGCTTCTAAACTTGTATGCGACTAATGATTATCTAACAGAATCAAAATTTTGTTATCTTTACTGGATTGTGTGTGGTGAACAATATGTTCCAAAGTTTTGAGAAACAATTCCTTCGTCATCCGTCCTGATTTGTTTCCTAAGGCTACACTTAAAGATGGTGCATCAGTAAGGTATTCTTCAACATTTCTTATTCTTGGAAATATGTAAACTGGTGGTAAAGCAGATCCTGTAGCATTTATTATACCCACGAAGGTTACAAGTTCGCCCCTTTCAGCTGAAGCCACAAGAGCTATTTGTTTTTTACCTTTTTGAGCGACTATTTTTGGAGGATTGAGAACTGTTGTTACCCCAGTTTCATCCAAGTTAAAAATGCGATCAGGGCTAAAGTTGTATTTTTGTAGTACTATTTTTTAATTGTCAAAAACTAGAGTTCGTATTTGAATATAAGTCAAGCCATAATTCATATTTGAACACTGCTTTATATAATTCTCCTACATTTCTTCTTGGGCTATAGAAAATATATTTCTTGTCGCATATTTATCTGAAAAAAAAAATCCTATTTAAATAACAACTAGGTAGGTATACCTGAAATTATGAAATTGAAAATTTCATAAGGACACCTAACTGATGCATGCACCAAGTTTACGAGCCGTCACAAGAAATCTTACCCTTTTTTTCTGTTTCGCTGTCGTATCCATCGTCGTCATACTTCTGTACAAATTCTTCGGCTGTCATCGATTTCAGAATGTTTTTTATCCGAGATTGTAAAGTTGATCTTTTCAAATTGAAATCTTGGGCCGCTGCCCTTAAAGACATGTTTTTATTGAATATATTCAAAATAGCTTCTTTCATTTGTGGCTCACTATTTTTGTCTCTATCTGTCTTCTTATGGTAGTTCCTCACCATCTATGAAACAAAAATTCTATCAATTTCCATTACCAAATCCTACTACCACATAAAAATGGGGCACAATGGGCCACATGGGGCACAATTGGCCACTGGCCGAATGTACCCCATCATGCATGGACGAATGTGCCCCTTCAGACATTCAAGAGCCAAAATATTTTTTTTCGGAAAACTGACTTAATTTGGAGGTTATGTCATGGCACATATTTAAACTAGAGACTTTGGAGTTGATATGCACGACATTTTGCAAAAATATGTTAGCAACAAACCAGGGAAAAATTACAAATAGGGGAAGTATGCCGATGATGGCCCCCTTAAGAATAATGCCTCATAATTTTTATATTTATGATTTTTTTGTGGATCACTTCAGTTCATTTTACGGGTCTTGATAAGGGCTTTCAAAACCTGCATTGTATTCTTGATTAGTTTCATGAATTACTTTTTGACGGTCATTTTTAAAAATCAATTTGAGGGGTCCATCATAGGAGCATACATTCCTTTGATGGACCCCGGAGTGTTCCTATGTTGGACCACTGAGAATATTTATGAGAAATAATGAGAGAACATTTTGTTTCTAATATTTTATTGGAAAACTTTTATACCAAAAAACTAAGAGATCACATTCTTTAACACAAACCCCAAAATAAAGACTAGAGCAAAATAAATTGTACATAGTTCTCAGAAAAAAATAAAATAGATAAACCACAAAAGTAAACAATACAAACAGGAGAATAACATGAATTCTACTTTAGGCATTCATTGACACAGTTCACAAACAAACAACTTGCACCTAGGGCTAACTCCCGCACAATCATTGTGGCACCAAGAGCTACAGACTTGACACTGAATCCACTTTTCCCTAGATTTTGATTGTGAATAAAGTTCATTACAATAGATGCATGCGGCGTCGTCCGAATTTTCTTGTTCCAGATATTTGTCAACAACCGCTTGATTTTCCTCATCACTGTCGTCACTTGCAAGATCCTTCTTATTTACGAAAACTTGTCGTTTCGCTGCTCTTGAACAAGTTTTTCTTAATTTGACTGCCTTTTGAGCAGCTGTTGCTTTGAGCTCATCAAGTTCTGGTGTAGAATTCAACGTTCCTGTTTTTCCACGTTTTCTAACCCTCCGTTGCATTGACTGAATATCAGCGACTGAAGGTGGAGGACAAATATCTTTGACCGATATGTTAAGAGCTGATTCGGATGATACATTGAGAACCGGGGATTTAGTGAGAGTTTGTGTAGTGGAAGGTCCTGGCAAAGACACAGAACTGTCCAATTGAACCATAATATTTTCTTCTTGATAAGATGGAAAGTCTTTATCAATGTTACCTTGATTGGAAGGTAATTTGACATTTTTGGGCAATGGAATAATTTTTTCAGGTTCAAGGACATCTTCTTGAGTTATTTGAGGTTTATCGGTTGTTAAAGATGGTGAAAACTGCCAATCTTCGAAAACCTCCGGGTTAAACGGATGTATTCCTGTTTTCCTGAAGGAGTTGATAGCATTTGTGGGTATGGCGCTTTTTAAATAGGCACGACTAAATAAAGCTGCTATTTGGAACTGCGTTACAGTTTTGCCAGGATTCTGTCGCAACCAGAGTTGAATTTCTTGTCCGTAATAAGTTTGCAAGGGTCGAAAAAATCCCACGTCGAGGGGCTGGACATGATGGGAACAGTGGACAGGAAAGCAAAATATTACAATTCCGTTTTGTTTTGCGTACTGCAACGCTTCGAGGCTTTTATGACTACTATGACCATCTAATAGTAACAGAACCTTATTTTCTAGAGACGCTTTCGTGTATCTGACAAAATGTTTGAGCCATTTGCAGAAAAGTTCGGAGGTCATCCAGCCTTTCTCCTGTACAAACGAAATGCATCCCGGTGGAGCACCATTCATTAGCTCGTCTTTCATTCTTTGACGTGGAAAAATTATCACAGGAGGAACGTAAGAGCCAATGGCATTCATTGAACAAACGACAGTAACATGCTGACCGCGTTCTGCACTGCTGAGTGCCCCAACTTGTTTGCGACCTTTACAGGCATATATTTTTTGCGGCTTCTTCTGGACTGTGGTCAAGCCAGACTCATCCATATTGTATATGTTCTCCGGGAGAAATTGGTGTTTGTTCCAAATAGACGCTAATGACTTGAAATATGCCAGAATGTTGGGTTTGTTAAAAGCCTGAGCCCTAGCTAACGAAGTACTTTCGGGATTTCTTAAAGATATGCGGGGATTGCGTCTTAAAAAACATTTAACCCATTTCCACCCAGCCATTTTGCGTTCCTTGTTGAAATTGTGTCCAATGCCATTTCTTTCCGCTACTTCGTAGACCAACTTACGTAAATATGTGCTGGTAAGACCAAAAAATCGTGATTCCATGTCTATGATGTGATCAACAATTTCTTGTTCAATTTCTTTGGAAAAAGTGGCTCGTTTTCCTCCAAGTCCCTGTTTGAGAGCACCTTTATTCGTGGCCAATCTTCTCCTTAACGTGGTTTTGGGTACGTTAAATGTTTGAGCGGCCAAATTATACCCCATTTCTCCTGCCTGTACATTCCTGATGGCTTGTTTCATGTCCACTTCATCCCATTGCTGTCTTTTGGTGGTCATATCTTAAAGCAATAAAGCAAAATGTATTACCCACTGTCTTACATATAAATTACATAGCAATATGTTATTCCTATGATGGCCCCCTGGTCCATCAAAGGAGAGAATACATGGGGCCATCATAGGCATAAGTGCATATAGATTGCTTAAATTTCATATCACATGTTATGTTCACTCTAACCTCAATTTCGATACAAAAACTGTAGCACGATACACACGCGAACATTTGATATAAAATCCAATTCTAAATTACTTGTTTTAAGATAAATATTCACTAATATTTTCAACAGACTTATTAGATCAGGACCTACCTTTTTTTATTTTCACACACTGACACCTTCCTATGGCCGACGCCCGTTTCATACTGCATGTGCAGCTCTAAAAGGAAGTTAGATGACGTTTTAAAATGGCCGGCTAAACGAAAATCGCGGGAAACTTAAAAATACGACGGAGGGGCCATCATAGGAAGTGGGCCATCATAGGCATAATTCCCCTACTGGAATTCAAAAAACTTACCTTGAACTCAAAAAATACACTGTTTTTTATAACAAATTTGCAGAGCTCGCGTGGGTAAGTAAAAGCATGGTTGCCAACATTTTTGATGGTATTTGGCGCGAAATTTCAAATATTTTAGATTTTATTTGCTATGGCCGAATCTTCACCGTGGCCGAACGTGCCCCACTCTCCCCTACTCTATACCTAAGTTCAACTGTTTTGGAAATATTAACAGTTGAAAATTGACATTTGCAACTTTGACAGGCTGTAAAACCTAAACGGTTAATTTTAGACGAAGACTGATTTTACATTCCTATCTTAGATTTTCATAATTTATCATTTGACACCAACTTTGAATTTAAATGGAGATTAAATTTAACTGGAATTTTTAATCATGGATTAAATTTGAAGTTGGTGTCAAATGATAGTTTATAAAAATCTAAGATGGGAATGTGAAATCGGTTTTTGTCTAAAATTAACCGTTTGGATTTTACAGCCTGTCAAAGTTGCAAAAAGTCAATTTTCAATTGTCAATATTTCCAAAACAGTTGAACTGAATTATAGGGTATATTACACAAAATCTGCTCAGAATATTACGTAGAATCCAAATATGCAATCATATACAGGGTGTGTCATTAAAAATAACAAAGTTCTGTCGAATAGCCTATAAACGGAGCACTCTGTATATTCAAAAATATTTTTAACTAATGCATATTGGAGTATCAAACAACTTTGAAATTTAATATTTTTTTCTTGAATCACCCTGTAAGGAGATATCGTCCGATATCGCACTAAGTGGACACCCTGTATATTTTTTAAGCGATAGTAGGCTGTTTTTAGTTTGTGATTGATATGTGACTCAAACCTTGTTGCATCATAAAGCTCAATTTATAGGTGTAGAGTCGATAGTTGGGGCGATTATACAGGCTGGTACACGCTTTTAATAGGTAACGTTAAATCTAACCGAGAAAGAATGTATCCCCTACTCCGAGGCCCGAATTTCATGAAATATTGATTGGTGCAAACCGCATTCTGATATTTGCGCCAACTGTCGTAGTTTAGAATAAACATTTATGATGAAAAATATTATTTAATTTTGATTAACATAATAGGCAACGAGGAAGATGCAGACGAGATCTGAAAAGGGTTCTTTTAGAATGTTAATTAATGTACTAATACAAGTGTGCATAAAGCAAAAGCCAGGGGAATGATAACCTGTGGTGCAAACACCCTGCGTCGAAACGAAAATCCACCCGATTCCTACGTCATAACTGGTAGTTTGGCGTGGTGCAGTGGGAGCTTGAGATTTGATCTACACAGGCCCTATGAGGATAGGCTATCCTTTGTAGTGTGAAGTATGCTTGGATCTCCCTCTTCAACCGTCTCAACTAACTCAACTAATCCAAACTAACCCAACATCAAGCAACATCCGGAGATGCCGGAGGGGACTTGTGTATAGATATATAGTAAAGTGTAATGCATCTGTTATCAGATTTGTAGGATTTTTGTTTCTCATTTTTCTTTCAATGAACGTTTTTTTTTTTGCCCCGGTTCAACTTATTTTCAAAGGTGGCATTCCTATGTACATCGTCTGATTTAAAATTGAAACCCTTCCCAGATCACGAGCCGTCACTGCTCTAAACCCCCCCCCCCCATGAAAAAGCTATAGCTACGTCGTTGTGAAAGCTTTTATAAATATTTTGTTTATGAAAATAATTGAACTGAATAATTGACTTGAATCAATTACCTGGCAGTAGACACTATGAAGATAAATATCTACTATCAACAACAAACAACATAATATCAAAATTGTTGTAACTTTTCGAATTAAATTTCTC